TATATCACACATTCATTATAAAACGCATTTCATATATTTCGAAATATATAAATTGATTTTTGTTTTTCGTTTGTCAAAAATAAATAAATAAAGAAACATTTAATAAGTTATTGCTTTGTCAAAGAGTTCAATTGTTTACAACTAGATATTTATGTATAGGAATATTAAAGAGTTATGTTAATTGTATGTTAGTTAACATAGATCATAAATTTCTGCTGTTATGGGACACACTTGGATAATAGGGAATAGGGAATACTCGAATATGTTAAAGCGGCAACAATATTTTAGCTTGACATTAACTGTTAGCATAAAATTATGTTATCGATCTGTTAATTCAATTGTAAAAGTGTAACATGGTATTTAGATACACCGTGTATATCTAACATAATGTTAAGTAAACATACTATTAAGCTGCCGTCAATAACATGATGTTAGTAGGTATAGCCAAAATGTCGCTGTAACCAGCTAAAGCTGTAAGTTAACAGCTGTTACCTATTGACGTTACACAATTGTTATTAACGGAAGACATCAATATATGTGAGCATGATAATAACAGCTGTCAGCTTACGGAATACATTTTACAGGAATATTAATAATGTTAGTAACAGAATGTAACAGCAGCGAGTAACATTAATGAATAAGGGTTATTTAATTCACTGTTAATAACAAAGTCATTAACGCTGCTATGGTTGGGGAGCTGTAAGCAACAACTGTTAGCAAAAGCAATGCTAATTAACAGCATATACACATTATATATAGCTTGCAAATTAATCCGTTTAGTATAGTTGTTAACAGCTGCTGATAACATTTATATATATAGAGTATTATTAAGCTTCTCAGGAGGAGACAAAAATGTAGATAAAGGGCATACATAGAGCTTCACGTATATAGTAGAGTTAGAGCTATGTGATGTCATGTTGACATATCCAAGCATGAAAATGTTAATTAACATTTGCGGCTATGCTGGATCTGTTAACTAAGAGATAGGATAAGACAACTTATGACTGACTTAACATTATATAGAATATATTCTATTTATAAATATTTGTGTGCAATATGAAAACGTACCTCGTCGCCATTCTCCTGGGTCTCCTGCTTTTCGGGATAGACGCCAGCGCGTAGGAATGATGCCTTCCATGATTCTACATCCTCCACCGTCTCGCACGACAACTCCAATTGTTTGTAATCCTAAATGCACAATATTTGTATATATATGTGTGGGTGTGTGTGTGTGTGTGTATGTGCAGGAGAAAGAGAGAGAGAGAGAGAGAAGCGTCCAAGCGCAAAGAGAACAAAATGGATAGGTATTTTTCGTCAAGCTTTTAGCATATGGGACAACTGTATTACGATTACGTTTACGATTACGATATTACGATATTACGWTTGAGTACTTGGACGGGTTGGTGGCATTGGTTGGTTATTGTCGGGTTCATTATTTAGTTTAGTTTTCTGTTTGTGATTAGCTTTCTATTTAAGTTGGTTGAGTTGAGTTGGGTTGGCAGCTGGACCAGAGTTCAGAGTTAGTGTTTGGTATATTGGTGGCATAACGGTATAACGGTATATATCAACATATATACAACTACAGCTATAGTGTATATATATGCATATATCTCGCTATCTAATTAAGTGGTTTATCGTATTTTGTTATTCTCATGCTCACAAATCGATGGCCAAAAAAATAGAATTCGAGAGTTCGTCTTTCTTTTTGGCCTCGACTTGAACACAAATGTTGATAAAAACATAGTAATTTTTATCTTATACAAAAAAATTAATTAACTGTTTTTCATTTATTTTTGGAAACTAGTTTCGAGTCTAGTATCAAATTGTTTTTGTTGTTGTTTTTTTTTTTAATCTGGGACTTGAACGCAAAATTGTTTTTTTCTTGTTTGCAACAAAAGAAACAAAATATTTGTTATATGAATTAATATTAATTTTTTTCTTTTTTTTTTTCAATAAATTTGGATGTTTTGTATTTGAATAGAAAAACTAGAACAAATAATATATATATTATATACCATTTGTTGTAGTTGCAAAAACTAATTGAAAATCTTTTTGTTTATCTTTTTCTCTCTTTTCGTTTCGTTTCTTTGTTCATCTATTTGGGATAGATTTTTAAAATATTTTGTTCATTTCTTTTTTTTTTTTGTTTTTGTTTTGTTGTGGTTTCATTTTGAAACGAAAATTCATTTTTTTGTATGCTAACAAAAATTACTAACCTTATAAACATTACGTCCGTCGGGACTGAATAAAGCAAATGTAACACGTCTAGACATTGACATAAAGCCCTGCTCAATATCGCGCAATTTCAAACCATCCAACGGCAACATGAATTTCTTCTCCTTCTCATCCTCGTCCTTGTACCACGAAATGCTCTCCGATGTCAACACAAACCAATAGGGACGAGAGCCACCTGCAACAGACAACACATAGCATAGAATAACCAGAACGATATTCCAAAAAAATAACAAAATAGAAACAAAGCAAAAATTGAATAGAAATAAAAATAAATGTACATTAAGGTATACATAAAGATGTATACACGAGGGCTGTTTGATAAGTTTATCATTCTTGCTCGGGTTTCTCAATATGTATTTGGAAAGTTAGGTTTGTGTCTCTATGCCAACAGATCTCTAAATTGTATGCATTCAGTGATCATTCTATACTTTTGTCAATCAACCTTTCAGAATGTAAGTAGTGCTCCAGTTGCACTCTCTGCTCTCTGGACTCTGTTTCAGATTTATATAGGAATTTCTGCTAAGCAATTCTTTGAAGTAAACAAACAAACTTTTTCAAGGCGTCAATTCCCGAATTATTTCGGATAAACATAATACCCAATATGTATATACGAAAGGGTATATGTGACGCCGTGAGCAAACCCATAAAGTATAAAAGTTAAGTATTCCCCAATAAATAAAAAAATTCTCTCATTTCACCTCCGTTCATGAGCCACTGACATAGAACAGCTCTCGTATATGCTAATCCATAGATCTATAGTTACACTTTAATAGTTCTTTATAGAGAATACATAAGTTTTACAATAAATTTCAAGGATCAGTTAAATGTCATATATATTTATATAGATATAGACATAACTTAGTTTTTATCGAAGCAAATGTATGAATGATGTATGTGTATTGGTGGATGAATATGAATCACATATGTGCTCAATGTTTATTTCTGTGTGTGTGTAGGAAACGGTGTATTAGCAATGAATAGAAATAGTTGAATACAAACCAAGTAGGCGTGGCAAAAACCTCAGCAAAGCTTTGCGATTAATCCACAAGATTTTAAGGCAAGAAATTAAAAGTACAGTACCGAAAAGAAAAACACCAAGAAAAATTCAAAAAGGAAAAACCAACCAAGAAGGAAAACAAATGGACGAAAATACAACATAAAAGAGAAGAAAAAGCAGAAGACAAGACAGAACAAACAAAAAATTGCAAATAATACTCAAGAAATATAAGCTCAATTACGTAAAAATACTTCAAGTACTACAAAACTGAGTCGAGTGGTATTTATATATGTGAGTGGATGTACTCTATTTCCGATACGATAACTACGTGTGAGCGATTTCAGATGGTGATCGCAGTTGATTCCTATGCATGCCATTAAATCTATAAACGTTTCTATACAAAGCAGTAAGGTTGAGTAGCTATCGATAGACAGTCGATTAAGATTAGCACCAGATATCTTTGATATCTATATATATTACTGCATAGTCAGTTAATTAGTTGTGTATAATATAGAAAAAGCGATAAATAGATAGATTATTTGAAAAAAAAAATGACGCAAAACTGTGATATTCCTGGACATTTCTGTACTATGATATCAAAAACCGATAAATCGATAAGAATCTGAATGTAATTTACACAAGTAAATCGAGTTACATTCTAATATTTGCATAGCATTTAAAGCTGTCTATCTACGTATCAAATTGCTATTGTCTCACGACTTAAAGCCTCCAGCTAATGGTTGGTTTATCGACTTATCGATAGCTGAGCTGTTGCCAAATTAGTAATTTTATTATATGAACATATAGGTAGTTAGTTGGAGGTTTAGTGTAGTGAGAGTTGAAGTTGTTGTTGCGACTGTAATTACTGTTACTGTTGTTGTTGTTGTTGTTTAGTTACAAAGCTTGAATATGACATGGACAAGCATTCGGCTAAAGTATACATACATATATAGATATATATGTGAGTTTGCACATACCTTTCATAATGCCTAGATTTTGAATGACCATGTGACCCTTGCGTATGACCTGATTGCCCAGCTGTCGGGTCCCGGTCTTATTTGCATTCTCAGATTTATTCTGAGCACTGAAATTAGCACAAAGAAAGGATAAATATAAATAGGATATTATAATTGAATTTGCTGAATTTGTTCAATTTGTTCATTATCGATCGGCTGAATAGACGATCGACATATACATGTATTGTGAACACAGCAATTGCGACATACTTGGCGAAGCCAATGAAATCCTCGTGATTGGTATTCATGTAGGCGAGCTCAAAGTCAATTAGCAACAGGATTTGCTCCTTGCAGCGCTGCTCACGCTGGCGCACATGCGTGGTAATGATGCGTTCCGTTTCCTCGCGCAAGCGTGGATAGCGACTCATCTTGAAAAAGAGACAACAAACAGAAAATAGACTCGTTGAAGGACTTCAATTGTGATTCAGATGCTCCACCTTGTCTGTGCACATGCGCACAACCGACGACAATTCCTGCACGACTAGATCCACACACTTAATGACCGGCTCCTTGAGCAGGGCAATCTGACGCTTAACGATCGCCTCGAACGCCATGTCCGGCGTGAAGAGACCAACACGAATACCGTGTATGTTGCGTATGGCAAATGAGATCTCACGTCGCAATTCCTTCTCATCGCACGCCATTTTCACAATCTCAAAGCGAAGACTGCAATGAAATGTATATTAAATTATATATGCATATATTTATATATTTTTGCTTACCGCTCATGGAATATGCGATTGATCTTGGCACCGCCAGACAGCTCATTTGTGTTGACCAAAGCGGAGCCGCTGCCCTCGATGGTACGCTCAAAGTCCGACTGCAGTTGCTGTATCATTCTGTAATTGCGATCAAAGAAGAGATATATATATATATAGTTAAATATCTATATAGATCCATAACGAGTCCTTCGCTTTGTTTACTTACTGGAGCATAGCCTTTGTTTTGATGCTGGCATCGCCTGGCTGGAAATGCTTAAACTCTTCGACCTCCTTCTCAAGGGTGAGCATCTGCTTCTGCAATTTGTCGCGCAGTCCTGGCAACGTGTCCCGAATGTGATTGGTGAGCTGTTGATTGAGGACACGCTGCAAGTATGGTGTGCCCAGACGATCGGCCATATGGCGATACGATGGATGGCTGAGGAAGAATTTGCGCTCAGCGGCCAATGCCATATGGATATCCTTGCGTCCCTCAATATCCTTTTGCGAACGATTTACAACACCAATGTAGCCGCGACGCAACGGCAACAGCTTATTTTCGAGTATATCACGTGCATCCGTGCCTTCGTCCATGAGATCCAATTTGGTGATGACACCAATTGTTCGCACACCCTGCGGATCCACCTCCTTGGCCAGCTTCAGGGCATCCGAGTTGGCCAGATCGGTATTGGCCGGCGTTACGGCCAGTATAAGGCAAGTGTCCTTGCGTATAAATTGCAATATCATTTGCTTAATCTGCTGCTCAATGTCTGGGGGCTGATCACCGATGGCCACCTTCGTCAGGCCCGGCAAATCGATCAGTGTTAAATTTAAAACGTGCGGCGAATAAACACGCAAATTAATCGGAATGTTTGAGATGCCCTTGTTGCTGCCGGTCACACGATCCGTCTCATCTTCGATCTCTTTGCGTATGTCATCGAAGCTGGTGAACTTTTTACCCTTGCAATGCAGAAACTCGCCATGCTCTAAAATCAACGAAAAACATCCATTAGCATATATGTATATAGATGTGTCTATATAGAGATAACTACTCACCGGTTACTCCGTTGATCAGCTGCAAAATTAAAGGTCTGCGCGTCACAATACCCGAACCACGAGGCAGAAAGTCTCTGTGAAGATCATAAAAAAAAATAATAATAATAATAATAGAGAGGGAAATAAGAAATCCATTAATTGTAGTTCTTTGAGTTGTTTTTGCATTTTTATTGCTGTTGCTATTTTTTATATTTTTTTTTAGAGTATGTCAATTGAATTGATTTTATCAATTGCGATAAGTGTCTTCCATGAGTATTTGACAAGTTTTGTGAGCTGCCTCTTCAAATTTATACAAAAGAATGCTTACTGAACTTTTCAAACCAACTAGACTTGATAACGCATTTGGAATTTCGAAATATATAATAGATTATATATGTCTGTATATATATATATCTATTTTTATATATGTACATTAATGAAAACATTACCAAACATCTATTTTATTCATATGCATAGAGAAGTATATATAAAACTTATAGATTCGTTAGATAAGAAAACAATTTTATGGCCTTGCCTCAACAAAATTTCATTCTTATATACATAGAAGTATAGGAAAAAGGAAATCTACAAGAAAATACAAATTTTTATCTATATAAGCCAAACAGACTTTAACACTATCAAGTCATCGATAAAGCTCATTGAATTTGAATCGTTCCAAAGTTCTCTAACAAAGCGCAAATTTAAAGAAATTTGCATTTGTGTCTAGCTTTGGGAATATGCCTCAAAATGTAGACAAAATATCTCAAATTAAAAAGAAATTCATTTACGATACACAATCGCAGTGTTATATAATACCATCTATATCTGAAGCGTATCCGAGAGTGCGAGAGAGACAACGCACAACAAAACAAAAATTGCACAATTGCAATAATATAGGGGAAATTAATATGATATAAACACAAACAGCTTTTGCTGTACATTTCCAATATTCCAGTGAGAGTGCTGTTACCCGAATTCAATTATGAAGAACAACTAAAATAACAAAAACAAACAGCAACGCCAGTGAGTCAGAATGTTAACGGCATAATTATCGTGCCTTTCAATTGTTCCACGGATCTCAATTACTTTGATTAGTTGAGAGATTATAATTAGAAGTATTATTATTGCTGTTATTATTCACATTTTTGCTTTTTTTTTTTTTTAATATCCATATATTTGGGATTTGTGGGAAAGCTGATTAATGCCAGCAAACAACGAATGTGTGTGATTAATTAACTGGGAAATTAACTGCTAGGGAGCACAGCTTGAAAATAATTTCTACATACACATTTACACACACATATGTATGTAAGCATGCATGTATTATGTATTTACTGTTACTGCCTGCCTTTAGATCGGCGCTTATGTTGTGACCTGTTTTATTATGGTAAACAAATCCGCCCAAAGTCAATATAAGCCTTACCACAGAGACACACACAGATACATAATAAAATATTAACAAACAGCTGCAGACCTAATGGTAGTAAAACCCTTATCGATAATGCAAACAATATCAATTATAATGACAGAGYATGAATCATCGACAAAAACTATAGCCGACGCCCGAAATGAGCATTAGGAGTAGTGCTGCAAAAATATCGGATCGGAATCGTTATAATCGATATTTTCGAATTTTGGCAAAAGATCGATATGGCTTTCTTAGTATCGATATATCGAAAAAATGGTTATTCTTGGCGTTGGTTTTAACTGTGTAAGAAGCGCATTTATTTAATTTTGCTAAATTGTATACAAATTGATTGATTTAATTTAATTGCAATAGAAAGAAAAAAATGGATCAGTTTTTGGGAAGAAAACGTAAGTACAATTGATATATACTATTGGAAAAGCTTGGAATCATAGCTTGTGTGTTTTAGGCGCGGCGAGGGTTGACTCCGATGAAGAAAATAAGACCGTGGGAGCCCCAAAAAAATCCGAAGTGTGGAAATATTTTGAAAAAGGAAAGGATGGTTGTGCGGTGTGCAGAAATTGCTTTAAGGTCTGCAAAACAAGTGGAAATACCACAAGCCTTAAAAATCACTTAACACGCATGCATCCATCGCTGCAAGAGAGTGAATTGGCACCCAAGTCCGGTAGCATTTTGCACTTCGTAAATAAAAAATATGAGGNGCCATTTTATCCATTAAGAAGTCATAATTAATATAAATATTATAATAGATTCTAAGCAAGAAAATTAACATTTAAAAGAAGTGTTCGATATATCGTTTTTATCGATCTTTTTCTCTGAAAATATCGCGAATATCGATATTACGGAATATCGATTATTTTGCAGCACTAATTAGGAGCCCGAATTGCAGAACTTATAACAATAAAACTCACACATACACACACAAACTATTCAACGCGAGCAAAATATTGAAATTGAAAGAGTTGGCAGAGGGGGTAAATTCCGACTGCTTATCTTATCAGCATAGCACAAAAGCCCACAAAGCCAACGTACTACATACATATGTAATTATAAACATAAGTTCCAAATAGATGCCCACATATTTGTGTACGTACATACATATATATGTACACTTGTGCATGCATAGCATTAACAATTTACACACACACACACACACACACACATGCACAGAACTGAATTTGTTCAAGTGTACATAAAATGCAATGTTATCAATTACATGAGATGAGTAACAGTATGGTGCGTGTGTGTGTTTGGATATAATGTCAGCGCACTTGTTTGCTCAAATTGTTCCCTCACAATTTCCCCAATTTCAAATTTGATTTGCACCGTTTTTTTATCGTTTCGACAAAAACAATTAGCAATTAGAGTTAAGAAAGAACAACAACCAAATGAGCAATGCTTTACAAAACAGCAGCTAAAGTTTAGTAGACAAACATATATACATAAATATATATACATAGACACATTTGCATTTGTATATGCGGCTGTAATGCAATACGCCGGCTGCGTCAGCTGTAGAGAGCGCAGCGATCGCTCTCTTTCTGCTACTGCTGCAATCGAGAACAAAACACTCTCACGCATACACACGCATACGCACGAATTATGAGATCAGCTGCTGCGCATTCTTTGGCTCTCATTGCTTTCGCTGTCGTTTCAATAATTTTTTTGCAACTTTTATGTTGATGTATATCTTTTTTTTTTTTCAATTTAAATAGGTTGTTGCCCTTACTTTTTGTGGTTTTTGTTTTCTATTTACGTGCGTCAATCATATATTTAAATATATTTAGAGAGAGAGAGAGAGTCATTATTCATTCAAATCCATAGAAATATCCCATTTATATATAATATAAAGTACCCACTATTTACATTAAAACATATACATACATATGATATGCGTGTGTTTATATATTAAGTATTTAAGAAAGTGCCAAAGGAACAACAAATACCATGAACTATTGACATTTCGAGCTGGGCTTTTGAGGCAGATGCTGCTGCTGCTGCTGCTGTTGCTATTGAGTTGACATTGAACAGACACTCTGTCTCTGCCACTCTCTCTCTCTCTCCCTCTCTCTATGAGTTGAAGTCTCTGCAGCATCATTAACTGACATTGATGGGAACAAAAAAAAACCTGCATCAGCATAAGTAGCATAAAGTATAAGAAAAACTAGGTCATTAACGCACACATATGCACATACACATATATTTATATAAATATATACATATATGCATGCACATAGGCATATAGATACTATGTATACATACATGCATATGTATATGTACATAACATATGTATGTATGTATGTACATACGCCTGTAGCCATGTATATATATATTTGTGTGTGTGGCCGGCGCATGCGAAAACTAACGGCTCAGCAAATGAACTGCGCTTGGCCAATCTTGCTGCTGCTGTTGCTGCCATTGCTGTTGTTGCTATTGACTGCACGCTAGCTTACATAAGAAAAACTGCATACATATCAGCTCTATATGCGAAGACGGACTCTATGTGTTAAAAACACCCACGTCCTATTCTAATGCGTACATAATCATATCATAGTATTTATGTATGTATAGAAATATTTATGTGAATGTGTGTGTTTGGCAAGGACTCATATACACAAAGCATAAATATCAAACCTACATAAGATGGTTAGATTCCGCTACACATGCATACATGTATATATAAATGCTTATACATGTGTGTGGGCGTTATGCTGTAGGTGGAGCAAGCCAAAGTCAAAAAAGGATTTTGTCGTGTATAACAGTAGCTGAGTATTATGTAATTTTGCAATTTTGCATAGAACCCACCTACACACACATACACCCACCCACGCATACACAGGCAAATATATGTATTATATGTGTATGTGTATGGTTGAAAGGCAGAGAGCTCGCGTTCCATTCATTAACAGTTACAAAAGTTACAACAGTAGGCAGAATCGACTGTAAGTGGAGGAGGTGGATGACAAAAGCAGCAACTACACAAATGTAGGGTAGCGTTAGCGGCGACGCCGACTGCGACAGCGGCAGCATTGCATAAATGTCAAAGTGAAGTGTAGCAAAGTGGAGCGAGCGCTGCTAACTTGTGTATGTGTATATATCTGTGTGTGTGTGTGTGTGTGTGTGTGTGTGTGTGTGTATGTGTGTATAGGGTATGCGCAGTGGGCCGTGTTGAATTCAACACAAGAGCCAAGCGCACATAAGAAAAAGGAAACAAAATCATGTGCGCTGCGCGCTACAAAAGGAAATGTCAGCATGCATTGATTTTTTTCTTTCTTTTTTTTCAGTTTGGCCGTTGTCCGTTTTTTATTTTCTTTTTCGGGGCGTACGTATTTTGTAGGTTATTGTATTTGTTTTTGTCATCTCATTTTCAGGGGGCGGACGACAAACGGTGATAGATAAAAACGAACGAAGCGCAATGAGCGCTGCGCAGCCAGAGAAAGAGGCCCCCAAATAAAACGGTATCACAGAGTAAACGAAGTAAGTGCTGTGCTTGTAGTTAAGAGAGAGGGAGAAACAAAATGGGAGAGAGCACACTGTCGTTGATAAATGTTTTATTTTTTTTCTATATTTTTTTTCTTCTTTTGTAACTGTTATTGGAAGCGAGTTTATGGCACTCGACGAGACTTTTAAGTTCCAGCATAAATATGCATATTTGTATTTATATACATATATGTATGTATGTGTGTTGGTGTGTTTTATAAGTACATGCGTAATACGCTTGGAGAGCTTACTCAACATTAATCAGCAGCGATGATTCTATGTAAGCGCCACCAACTGTTTTATATTAAGCTCGTCGTGCTTTTATATAAATATATGTACATATGTACATACTAAACTATGTGCAAGGTGGTTGTCATGCTGTTGCGGCCACTGCGAACAGAACGCTGACCATGTACAACTGTATGCGCATTTACTAGTTTCTATATACACACATATGTATGTACATCAATATGAGTGGGAGAGGGGAAATTATTGATGGCCTCCTGCTTCTGGGGCAAAACACCCACAGACCGAACAGAACGAAAAAAAAAAAAAAAAAAAAAAAAAACAGAACAAAAACCAGGAATGCTGCTTCATTGATTATTCACCAAAATTCACGCGCACATACATATGCACATATATGTGCGCAAACACTGAGAGCGCGAGCCTAGCGCACGCACACACACTCACAACTCTCTTACATCTAGAGACATCAATGCTTTCGCGCAAAAATATGGATTTTCTTGTGTGTATTTCTTTTGATAGTAAAGAAACAAATAATTTTGTTTTGTTTTTGGCTAGACAAACACACTTACTTGCCCACGAAATTCTCCAGCACTGAACTCTTGCCAGCCGACTGTCCTCCAACAACAGCAATCTGTGGCAAATCCAATTGCATGTGCACACCCAGCGATGTGAATGCATCCTGCAGTTTATTGACGATCGGAATTAAGTTGTCCATGGTGACGTAGCCGTAGACGTTGATGAAGACGTAAACGAAGACGGCGAATTTGCTGATACTGGCCTTTCAATTTCTCGCTCACTCACTCTCTTGTTCTCTTTTGCTTTGCCGCTCTCTTTTAAACACGATCGAGTTTGATTTTTGTTGTGGACTCGCGCTACGTTTCACAGTTAATTACTGTTGCTGCGTGAACAGCGTTTAGGTATGAGGATGTCTCAGTCTCTGCCACTGGCCGCTGCTCAATGTTTGCTGCACTCTGCTGCTGCTTGCTGCGATTTCTGTTACGTTCTTTTCGTTTCCTTTCCTTTTCTTAGTTGGTTATCAAATTGGTTTTGAATATTTTCTCTCACTCTTCTTTTACACACACACACGCGTATACATATATATTGATATATTGTATATACATATGCGAACGCTATCTTCCTCTCTGCCGACACCAACAAACACTGCCACTTGTGTTTAAGTTGTTGTTGCTGCTGCTGTTGTTGTTGAAAAAAAAATTAAATTAAATTAACTGCGTAAGCAAACAATTTACAATGGCACAGAAAAAATTAAAAAAAAAATTTGCACACACTGCTGAAAAAAATCGGCAAAAATGTTCTTATAAGAATCCAGCACAGACACGAGACACATACACACAGACGCACGCACACACAGAGACGACACGTTAACTCGACGGCATCGATACGCCACAAGCAAGCGCGTAACGTAAGCGTGCCTTTGCTTTTGCTTCTGCCGTCTATGGCAGTGGCTGCGCTGCGGATGATGAAGACGACGACGACGACAGCGACGCGTTGGGGCGGGTTTTAATGTTGCTGCGCTCTTGYATATGCTTTTTTGTGTGTGCGCGCAGGGTTGTTTTTGTTGTTTATCAGAAAATTATACAGCGAATTTCAGCTAACCGATACCGATAGACTAAAAACTTAAATTTATTATTTTTGATTTCCGACACATAGACAAAATAAAATTCACAATTTAAAATCACTTAGAATTTTCAAGAATGAAAAAAAAATCAAAATATAATACCAAAATGTACAATTGCATGCACACACAACACACACACACACATAGGAGTTGCTCGCATGGCAAAAGAAAAAAAGTATATATATCTGTATATATATTTATATAAATACAACTAAAATGCCAACGAAATTTATTGTTTGGATGGGTGGGCAAAAATTATTTATGGCTGTCGTCAACGATCAACACAACTTCCGAAAATTTTCTGAAGGCGACAATGAGTAATTACAAAAAAATTACGCGTACCGAGCGCTTTACGTCCGCCCCTTTTGGCTTTGTTTTTGCTTCTGATTATTCGATGACAAATACTGTTCAGTGCTCCTCATTATCGATATGGCCCGGCAGGGAAGATAATATATGAAATCAATCACTTTCCATTATCGACTGGAATAGTTATAAAAAAAATAAATATTCAAATAAATGTATGTATTATTTAAATAACACATCTACAAATCTAGTTTTAATAAAATAGTTGAATTTCTTAGGCTTTTGAATTTATTTTCGATACCATACTATTATCGGCATTTTGCATTTAGCGCCAACGAAACCAAAGTGATCGCATATAAATAATAATATAATATAAATATTAATCATATTTCAGTCATTATTAAAAAAAAAATGTAAGTAGTCCAACGCCTTTATGACAATTTGAATAAAATTTGTTTCTGTTTTCAATAATCAGATAGCCTTTGCAACTAACAGCACTATAATTTAACATTACCAGACTACAATTGCTTAACAGTGTCAGTCTACTAACACATCCGATACTTTTATTTGGCAACCTTACTTCGATACACGAATGTTATTAAAATAGTGGACTAAATCGAAAAACACCAATTTCGTTGTGGGCTATATTTTCCTCATTCGTAAGGCAGTGCTCAGCCAAAGCAGACGTACATTAGTGCATATACTCCAATTTACAAGAAAAGTGCAAGAATAAATTTATTTTAATAATTGATTCAAATTATAGTTAGCTAAAGACAAAGAAAGGTACGTATATATTTATAACTGCATCTATTGAAACAGAACTTCGCGAGTATCTAGAAAGCTCTATATTTTGCCAGTTTTCATTGAAAATTTGTAACTGCATTTAGGAACAAAGAAAATTGTGCATGCAATGCACACACACAGACGACCACACATATTAATGTGGGCATATGTATATAATGGGCATTTACATGCATATATTGGGGGAAAACTGTAAATAATAAACATTTTCTTTTAAGTTAATATATATTAGATCCTTCTTTATTGCTTATAATTTAAATTGGACATTTTTTTAGGTATACTGTAAGTGCGTAGTTGCAAACGCCATTTTACATTTTTTACACTTAAAAAATGGCGTCGGACAAAGAACAAGTGCAGTTAGTGAATATATACATACATACATATGTATGTATATATGCAAGCATGCGTATATATCTACACTCATGCATTGCAGGGATGATTAGAAAAAGAAGCAACAAAGACTGATTAGTCATTCTTCGTTATAGATTTTTGGAGTGGTGAAATTAAGTGTAGAAATTAGTGCATCATACATATAGTATGTATACGTTGATTATTGCGATAAACTATTTAAGTGTGCGGAGCCATTTGTTCCAATTTACGAAACTAGGTCACGACGCAGAAAAATTCTCTGCGCACTTCGAGCAGAGTATTTAAATTATGTCTTCCAGGGCTGCATGCGTCAGCATGACCTCAGCTAGCATTTAATCGATTTCTCAAGTTCCTTGAGCATACATACAAGCCAATTTCTTTCTTATTTTTATTTTTTATTTTTCTTAATAACTGTAGAAAAGAGAAATATGCAGATCTTCGTCAAGACTTTGACTGGCAAGACCATCACTTTGGAGGTTGAGCCCTCGGACACCATTGAAAATGTTAAGGCCAAGATCCAAGACAAGGAGGGTATTCCCCCAGATCAGCAGCGTCTGATCTTCGCTGGCAAGCAGCTGGAGGATGGACGCACTCTGTCCGACTAYAACATCCAGAAGGAGTCGACCCTTCATCTGGTCCTCCGTCTGCGTGGTGGCATGCAGATCTTCGTCAAGACTTTGACTGGCAAAACCATCACCTTGGAGGTCGAGCCCTCGGACACCATTGAGAATGTTAAGGCCAAGATCCAAGACAAGGAGGGTATTCCCCCAGATCAGCAGCGTCTGATCTTCGCTGGCAAGCAGCTGGAGGATGGACGCACTCTGTCCGACTACAACATCCAGAAGGAGTCTACTTTGCACTTGGTGCTCCGTCTACGTGGTGGCAATTAAATTTGAAAATGATAAAAACCTCTATATTATATAAATGTTGGAAACTATATATGTATTCGGCTAACAAAAATGTATTCCATTTGATGTTTAATTGGCAGTAAATGTTTCGCAAAATCCTAAAATATTTAAATATTCAATAAAAGTTCCATTGTGTGCGTTCAATAATAAAAAGCTCTTTGAATTTTATTTTAATAGGATCTAGCTGAGGATCGTTAAATATGCATGTTGTGTTTTAGTTGGAATTCTGGTAAGTACCTGAGAGCAGCATTTAGCAACATGTATCAAAGAAGTAAGTCTGTCAATAACAGAGCAGCATGTGTCCAAAGCTTATGACGTTATCAGCAACATTTGCGTAATATCGATACTGCGATTAATCGGCTTGTGTTGCTTCCATCACTAAAAACAGCTGTAGTTGAAATTTAGTTCTCAACACACTAGCACATTTACACACACTTCAGTGTTCAGTAAAATATTTTGTAATTATTTTGGTTTGTAATTGTGGTGTTGCTTAGCTTTGCAGAATGAGCAGGGAAATCAGCTTGGCCGAAGTGAAAAAGCACAATAAAGCCAATGATTTGTGGGTGGTGATTGAGGACAAGGTCTACGATCTGACCAAGTTCAAGCAAGAGGTACGTCTCTCTCGTGCTGTATAAGAAAGTAATGTTAATCTCTGTTAATTTGTGTGCCTAGCATCCTGGCGGCGAGGATTCGCTGATATCTGTGGCAGGTCGCAATGGCACACGGGAATTTCTGGATGTGGGCCACAGCCAGGAGGCCCGGTAAGTTTCGATTAGCACAGCAGCTGGTACTTTTATTCATATTGCCTTCTCTCTCGCTCTCTCATCTCATTTCCAGGGAGATAATGAAAAAGTTTCTGATTGGCAATTTGGCAGCCGCCGACATTAAGAAAAAAGGGGCCGTGGGGTGAGTTGTTTTTGTTTGTTTTCCTTATTTTTTGCAATTGTAATCGCAAGACTTTCAACTCAGTTGACAAGCATGAGCCTGAGCATGAGCATGACATTTCAGCTAACTTCATTATGAGCAATCAGCGCATCATTATCATCATTGATTGGCTGCGTCATCTAATTAGCACGTTCCATAAGGCCTGCAGATCGGAAACGATTTCCACTTGATTCACTGACGCATCTAATAAGAATTTCGCATGTTTGCTAGTTGGCTCACGGCTTACGTTTACTGTCCAATAAGCAGGATCAAAATGAATTCGAATAGGAGTCGGACAATTGAAGCTGGCTGGTATTTTGCATCCAATAAGATGAAAAATTCATTAAAAATAGCCTGAAGATGTAACTACCACTGCTTACATATCATCTAATCTGATGACCAAATAGGACTACAACTGAAGTCAAGGGATTCAGTTTGCACATTCATTCAAAATATCGACTTACAGTTATTTGCATTAATTCCTCAACTAACAGCTATTTATGCCATGAAATGTGCGTTTACGACAGGATTTGTCTAATTGGATATGCATTTGTATATATGTATGTGTATATATATTATTTTTTCAAGCTTCAAATCGTTCGCCAGCACTAAAGTTAAATTCTACAAAAGCTAAGCAACACCACAAAATCAATAAAAAAGAAGAAATGTAAAAAAAAAGACTAATTTGTGAGTTTCAAAATTTGCATGTTATATGTTTTAAAAATGCACCAAATTTGTAGTTTATTTTTGTAAAAATATTCAAGTATTTTAGATGTTGACATATTCAAATGTCTTTTTTTTCGCTTTTTTTTAATGACAATTAAAAGTAAATCTTTAATTTTCTCTAATTTCTTGACTTTAAAATCAAAACAGCGAATTTAAAATCAACCTCATCTTTATGTATATACCATACCATATATACATACATATATTTACCTACATATATCTGTGGGAGAGCTATATGCTTTTGTCTATATGTATGTCTGCAATAGCTAAAACTTGGAGCACCTCAAATAGTTAAGCGCAAACAGAAATTTCCCTTTGCTTGCTTTGCTTTTATTTTCTTGTCTTTCTTTATACTTTTCTTTGGTTTAATTGATTAGTGCCACGCCCACAGCTGATGACAATGTGAATGCGAACGCGAATGCCACACCTAAGCAATGTTGCATCTTGCACTAAGCGCGAATGCCAAAGGCTAAAACTAAATCCCAACTTAGATCCCAACTTAGCTTTGATTAATTTGCGATTAGCCCAGCCTTTTATGCAAAGACACACACACATACAGACACTGATACACTCCCATACATGCACACATACATATGTATTTAATATTACTTTCTTGTTTGTTGCAAAAGTTGCAGAGAAATCGGCCTGGCCGTGGGCGCCATAATACTGGGCATGGCGCTGGTCTACGCGATCAAACGGGGCATGGCCAAGAACTAAATCGAAGGACGTTGCACAACACTGAAACTTTCATTCCGCAAAGAGAGAAGAGGCAGAATAAATTTTATGTCCTTTTGATATTACAATTTTTTTTTGTATAAAACTCGTTGATATTGATGCTGTTAAATCTGTCTTTAATAAATCAATTCTTAGAAAAAAATCTATTTTTGTAATTTATTTGTAATCTACCACTAACTATTCCTTAATTTCAGCTATTTCCATCTCTATCTAATTTTTGTCAAATGACAAAAACAGGAATTTGTATGGGACTTTTTGGCAGTTTAAAAAATGATTGCCTCAGCAATTACAAAAATTGAATTATAGTAAATGAGAATAAGAATAAAATTAGTATTTGAAAATTTTAATAATAATATCCACTGATGAATTGTAAACAAAACATTGTATAGATTGCCTGAAGCATCCCGGCTGTTTCCGTCTCTTTCTAATTCAAATCGCCTCAAACCTCTTGTTGAACAAGTGGGAAATGTAAGGGAATTATTTGCTCATTCGTCAAAAACGGAATTTCAATGGCAACATTTGGCAACTGAGCTTCGGCAACATTTGACAATGGAGCTGCAGTCGGTTGGCAACATTTGATATGGGGAGGACTCAATTGGCAACATTTACCCTCTTGGCATTATATGACTATCGACATCGATAACCATTTATCGATCGTACATTTGTAATTAATTGAAGAAAAAGTCTCGCATTTGAATTTTTGTTTGTTTTTTGTTGTGTAGTTATTTTATTTAATGCTTTTTTAATGCTTAAGGTTTTCCTTTGCGTTGAGTTTCCAGTTTTGCTTAATTTGTGAGTTTACAGAGTAATATACTTATTACTTATGTATACATATATAATTAAATCCAGATCAAATAGTCACACTCACGCACTGCCTAGTTCTAGTCCTAGTTTTCGTCATATAGGGGCGTTGAATCGCCCAAGTTCATGGAGTGCGGCGATGTGTTTGTGCGCGGCGTGCTGCGCACCGAAGACTTGGAAGAGATGCCGCCACCACTAGCAGCACTACTAGAAACAGCAGCTGATGCTGCCACGGCGGCAGCTGAAGCGGAACTGCGATTCGTGCTGCTGCTGCTCGTATGGTATTCGTTGGTGGGCGTGGAGCCGGCACCACTGCCGACACCGCCAACACCACTGCCGCTGCCATAGCCCATACCCAGGCTCATGCCCAAGCCGAGCTGCTGCTGCTGCGACTGTTGCTGCTGATGCTGGTGTTGATGCTGATGCTGGGGTTTGCGACGCGCCCATGAATCGTTAGCCAGCTGCCAGTCCAGATTCTCCTTGGCACGTTGCTGCTGATGCATATGATGATGGTGCTGCTGCGACAAATGCGGATGTTGCTGCTGCGAATGTCCATGGCCATGGCCATGCGAATGCGAATGCTGCGATTGCTGCTGGTGATGCTGCGACAGATTGCCGCTATTGTAGGCGTTGTCATAGTAGCGGGGCGTGCCGCCATAGTGACCGTGACGCTGACTGCTGCTCGACTGGGAGCTGGGGCTTGGAACATTGTGGCCGTAGCGTGGCGTTTGCGTCGCATGCGGCGTATAGGGCGTCATGAATGGTGTTTGGCCGCTTGGCGTGTACGGCGTATTGATGTGGGCGCCAAAGGTGGGCGTGCCGCTGCCAAAGTGACCCAGGCCACCGGTATTGATGAGGCCCAGGCTGGAGCTGCTGCCGCTACCGCTGCCATAGCCGATGCCGCCAGCGCCTGCCCCGCCGACCGCGCCCATGGAATGCGTTATTGAGTAGGCGCTGGAGCTGCGCATATCGCTGCTGCTGATGCCGCTGCGTGGTGTGCCGCCCGTCATACTGCCCGAGCTACTGAATCCGACAGCTCCGCCACCGCTGCCGCTGCCGCCCAGTGAGCTGAGCGCCGATGTGGGCGGTGGTCGCATCATGTTGTGCGCATTTGTGGGCGTATTGCTGGCGGGCGTGGCACTGATCGAACTGGACATTACCGTTGGCGGATCTAGCCAGTGCTCCTTGAACCAGCGCAACAGACTGCTGACCGAGTCAAAGATTTGGCCACGAAACCGATAGCCCTCCGGCATGACAGTGACATATTCGTGGCGCACCTTCGTCTTGGGCAGGTAGGATAACAGAAACTTGCCCGGCATGCTCTTCGATGCCGTGAAGAAGTAATGGATCTTCTTCGGATCACGTGCCTTCTCCTCGCGCAACAGCTGCTCCATGAAGTCACGCTCGTTCACGTTCGCTGGCGCCGTGTTCGGCTTATAGTATTTGTATTGGATGAGCTCGCGGGCAGCCAGAGCCATGGGATTGATGTGACGTGCGATGATCTCGTCGAGATCCTCAAACTCTTCGGTGCCGATCCAGAGACTGCGTCCCAGACTATAGTCATTCTCTTTGCCCTCCTCGCGCACATCGATGTGCTGGAAGATGTCGTCGGCCACCTTCCACGTGGCCGTCAAATGATCCTTGGACTTGCTGCTGGGCCGCAGAGCCACCTCGCCCTGGTCCGCTTCGGCGAGCATGGCGATGACCTCCGCATAGGACTTGTTAAAGAAACTTGGATGGGCTATGACGCGTCTGGCATAGGTCTTGCGCTTCATGGCCTTCGCCTTGGCATCCGACACTTTGCGATTGTCCAGCTCCTCGGTGACGTAATCATAGAACGCATCCCGTCTGGGTCGCCATTCGTTGTTCACATCCTTCAGGTCGGCCGACTTGGAGCTGCAGTCGACCGAGAAGCGATCAATGTCGATTTTAATGATGCGCACATGGATGGTCTGAGAGATGCGGACACGTTCCTCCGGATTGCGCACCTGTTTGTCGGACAGATTCTTGATGTGTATGAAACCAGGCAGCCCATTCTCGAGCCGTACACGCACGCCGGACGCCTGGCCCGGACAATTGTTATCATCGAAATGATTCCACACATCGGACAGCTCCGGGAAGTCATCCTTGTGACAGAACGGACATTGCCAGCTGTCGGAGTCATCGATGCGCACCGGATTGGCATTGTCCAGCTGTTCGCCCTGCGGACGCCGATACGTAAATCCAGTCACCATTGCCGTCACACACTTGCCCACATAGAATGAGTCCGGCGTCTCCTTGGTTAGCATATCGAAGAGCTCCTCGGCGCTGGGCTTTTGATAGGGTGAACGGTAATCCTTGTACAGGCAGCTCAGCTCGTTGCGTATATCGTAGAGCGTAATGCTTTTGCTGCCAAATCCCTGACGTTCCAGCTCCACGGCAAATGCATCCAAGTCCAAATCCTTCAGTCTCTCCGGCGATTCGAGAATCTCCTCGAGTGCGCCGGCTGGATTTGTTTCCTCATCATCGTACTCCATGGCATCGATGGCCATCTTGCGCGCCCATTCATATGTCTCCGGATGCACACGCGAGCCATCCAGCACCTCGACATACGCCTCCGTGCTGTCGCCCAGCGAACTGGTGTCGATCTTGATGAAGCCACTGCAATTGATAAAGACCTTGGGACCCAGGTGGCACACCGTCACCAATTGTGTCCGATTCTCGAGTCGTTGATTGCTCTGCTTGAGCAGCTTCAGCAGCGCCTGGCCCTTCCTCGGACCCAGTCCACAAATATATTGAAGCAGATTGACGGTGCGGGAGTTCTGCACCATCAGATTGATATCCAAGCCCACTTCGCTGGTGCGATTGATGAACTCCAGGCTGAGCTGTTCCAGCAGTAGCTCACGTGGCACACGCTCCTGCAGCGGATGGTAGCGCAGGCAGAGTATCTCATCGTCCGCATCGCACAGCTGGGAGTACTCAACCAACGGATCCTGCATTTTGCGCGCCAGCGAGGCAGCTTGCTTCAGCAAGGGTGGATATTCCTTGAAGTCACTTTCGCCCTTCTTCGAATTGGCATAGATCTTGGCCAGTTCATTGTCAATGATCTCCACCTCGATGGGCGGGAACTGTTCGTTGACCTCCAAATCTTTGAGTATCTCGCGTATGTCCGCCTGTATCATTTGAGCATCGCGCGACTCGGCGCCAATGACCACAACGTGCGGCTTCTTCATCTTGATGAAATCGCTCAGCTTACGCAAATCGGCCAACTTTTGAGCCTTGTCCTCGGCATTGTAGGAATTCTTACGCTTGAGTATGCTGGGCAATCGTAAGTAGTCAGAGATATCGCCCTCCGGACTGGCTATGGCACAGAAGGCGGCCACCGACTGATCCGGATCATAGGCCAGACCCATGGATCGTATGCCCCTCAATGTGCTCCACTCCTCGAAATTGTGATGTTGCGGCATCTCTGGCTTATATGGTGCCACCTTCAGCCACTTGTACAGCTTGGCTATGCACGAGCGTAGCACAAACTGTTGCGCCTCCTCGTGCAACGTTGCACGCAGCTCCTTGATTAGATCCGGTATGACCCATTTCTTCAGTGCCAACTGAACGCATTCGGCACGCAGTGCATTCCACTCCAGCACATTCTTGGAGAACTGATCCAGATGATAGAGCTGTGTGGCCTCTGTAATGTAATCACCGGGCGGACCATTTGCATTCGCATTACCCTCGAATTCATCGAGGAACGTAATCTCCAACAGTTTCTCCTCCTCGGCCATCAGCAGCTTGATGAACTGGTCCCCAAATAGATCACCCACCGGTTTCTTGGCCACATATTTCATCGAATAGACGGGCGAGTTCTCGTCGATCAGTACCATGCCGTTCTTTGTGGGCCGTATGTTGATGCGTGCCCGATCGAAGTACACCTCACGCATTGTCTTACGCAACAGCGGCTCCTGGGCCAGCTGCCTGGCCACAACATATTTGGCAGCATGCAGCACCTCGTCGACGGTCATGAAGCGCGGCGACAAATACTGCTTGGCCATCTCAGTGGGGCTCAAGCTCTCCTGGTTGACCTCATTCCTCTGGTAATTATCCCGCAGATTCTCGGCAAATTGCTCGGGCGTTAGGCCAAAGTGTTTGGCAAAGCCACAGATGCCGGCCTTGCGGAATACAGCATAGGGACTGCTATTTGGTGCCTGTTTCAATTGCTCCTCGGCAGCCAACTCGAGCTCCTCGGCCTCATCGAGCTCTGCCGTATCCAGTTTATCGGTTAGATCCACGCCCGATTCACCATCACTGCCCGCGGCGGCAGCTGCTGCTGATGCCTGTTTGCGTGCCCGCGCCTCGCGTCGCTCCTGCAGCTGTTTGCGTCGCAGCTCGGCCTGCATTTTGGGCAACTCATGTGAGTAGTTGAGCAGAAAATACATGTGAACATCCTTCAGCTCCTCCATGGACTGCACATCGTTCAGGCGCTCGAAATCGCTGTCGAGCATCAGGCGCACATCGTCCGGCAGCGGCTTATCTGGATCATCGCAAAGTGTTTCCAGCTGAAATTGTCGCATCTTCTCAAACAGTTGCTTCAGCTTCCTCTTGCGATCGTTTAGCTGGCACCAGCGCTCATCGTAGTAGTAAACCTTCCACAGATCATCGATGTTCAGCTCTGGCTTCACATACTCCTTGCGATAGAATGCTATGAACGGCACCTCCAACTGCTGGTTGCGTATGAATTCCAAAGTCTGTTTGATTTTATTCACAGCCGTCGGCGGCTTGCGCATCTTCTCGCGATTGTCCGCCTTCTCCTGCTCGGAGACCGTCTGTTTGCAGAACGCAAAACGATATATCCAATCGGCCTCGTCGTCCAACTCATGGGATCCCTCCGGCACCGGCGTGACCGGCACCTGACGCAACTGCATCCGCTCGGGTATATCGGTTTTTCGTATCTCATTGTCCAAGTCAGTGAAATGGCCACGTTTCAATTCACTTGGCTCATATATATCAAATATCGTCTTTTTGATTGCCTTCTTTTTCGGTGATTTCTTCTTCTTGGCCGCTCGGAAATCATCTCCAAGCAGATCCTCATCATATTCATCGCCCTCCGATTCCTCCTCATACTCATCCTCTTCGGGCTTGTAAAAATCGTCGTAGTCAAAATCAACGCCAAAGATATCTTGGCCCTCCTGCAGGGAGCTATACGAAAGAGATTTGTTTGTAACATTACAGTTAGTTTAAACAATCGAAAGCAGATATATATAGATATTATACATTACTTAGTAAAGCGGAGTACATATTAAAGATGGTTATTCTAATATATAATTGATTATTCTATTCTTCAATCTAGTCGATGGTATATCAATCAATCTGGTAATCAAAGCATACACAAAGACATATGTCACTCAATCTTTATCGATATGACATGACAAAAAGAAATTGCTTAATTGTACCTGAAGACCTGAGCATTTATACCAAATCAATAGCTAACCCATAATGAAATATATGTATTGCATACATATGTACCTATTTATCTGGTTTTGTATTGGTGTGTATCTATACTTACGCATCTGTAAATATGGGTCGTCGCTTCTTTTTCTTTTCGGCTATGGGACGCCCATTGTCATCCACAATAAAATCATCAGCATCCGATTCGCTCTCCTCGTCATCAAAGGCATCCGCCTCACGAATGCTGCGCTCGCTGCGCCTCTCAATGCTCTGCTACAGAGGGCAATGGGAAATCAATAGCTTATGGCCATAATTATGAATGCGTATTATTCTATGATACATACATCATCATTCTCATCGAATAGCTGCTCAGCAATTTGCTCGCGAACAAGTCCTTCGTCCACGTGCTGCTCCTCGCCATCGCTTTCGTTGTCGTGAATGCGTCGCAGGCGTTTAAAACGTTTCTAATATGATTTAAGAATTGAAAAAGAAGTTACAAATTGCCAATTGTTTCTTAGTATTTGTAGTCCACAATGGTTAACTTACACGTCTCTCAACCTTAACGCCCAAATTCTCCTCAATCAGATCGTAATCGTCGTCCTCCAAGCGATCATCCAGATCATCATCCTCATGCTTTTTGCGCTTCTTGCCGCTGCCTCCATCCTCGTCACCTCCACTGCCAGTATCCGAATCATTTTCGCTGCCATCATCCTCCTCAATGGGATTGTCATCAATCAGATCCTTAAGCTCTTCGCGCAAACGCTCCTCATCGTCTACCGGGGCACATAAAGATGGTAAATATATTAATTGTAAAAGGCTTGTATGCGTCATTTATTTAAAAATCTCCTATATATATTCCTTTTATATACAGTAATTGATTAAAAATAAAGTGTCGCATATAAAATAAATAAATTTCGAGTGCTTGTTTGAAATATTTGCAAAAGTTGTACGTCACTTTGATTAGATGTCACATTTGATGCACAGCACACAATATGAACCTCTGATGAAATTGAAATACAGTTTTTTTTTTTTTTCCAAAGGGTATAAATAACATAAAACCTAACCTCAATGTTGTAAACAAAAAAAGTAGACACCTGCCTTAGAGGGGGGAGGCAGAGTGATTGGAGCGGCTATAATTGTCCAAACTATGACACATATACTACACACACACACGCATATGAATATATGCATGCACACACGCACACACACACACAACATACATATATGTATATATACTAATATACAGGACAGAAAGTTGGTTAACTTTAGTAGGGACAGCTCAATTTTTCGAGCATTTATTGAAAATATGTATCAATTTAGCGGGCTTTTATGATCGGTAAACGCACCTTCTTCTTCTTCACTGCTGTCGGAGACGGCGGCTTTTAGCTTCTTTAGCTTTTTGCGCTCATGCACATCCAATTCTTCCTCATCCTGCAGGCAAAAGAGAAAATGCAATACTTATATTTATATACATATAATTACATATGTATATATGTACATATATTTATATATACACACACACGCGCGCCTACGGCAGCACAAAACGCGTAGCAATGCAAAGAAATCGCATTTTGCGCGCGTGCAAAAACTTCACGGTAATCATACCTCCGATTCGGCGGCTTCAGAATCCAAGAATTCAGCCATTGTAATAAATTAAATAACTAAATTATATGCTAAAAATGAATTTAACTAAAATTAACACACAAAGTTCGTCGCTTGCAGTGTCACAATACAAAAATACCCAAAGACGAAGAAGCAGCACAATTGTCAAAAAAAGAAAAACAGTGTGCAGCAGTGTTGCTAAATGCATACAGTCCTCGGCAAAAGAGAGCGAATAAGGGCTGCATTATCAGCTATCGATATGACGATAGTGACATAAGGAGAGCATTTAACACATCGCTATTCTCATGTAAAGCATAACAGAGTTACTTATTCAGAATAAATCGTCATGTGCCCTCAAGTGCTGGAAACACTAGCTACAGTGTTGGCAATGCTGTCAAGCGGGTAGCAAGAACGAACCATCACACTCAATAATAATATAAATAAGCGGTTCGTGTGTGCGCGCTTCGCATATTCATATATATACATATTAGCATAAATACGTGTATTATTGAAATAATTAATAGAAATCTTTTTGATACGCTTAAAATAAAGTCGTCAACAATTCGTTTATCTCTGTCGATATTTTGTAACTGTATTCTACGCGAAGTTCCAGTTCCAGTTTACTCTGAGTCCGGCGCCGACCACTTCGCTTGTCATTTTCGGCGCGGTTAGTTAGTTCTCAGTACGCGCTGGTGTGCGTGTGTGTATGTGCTCGTGTGTTGCTACTCACAACGCGTGGTATATTTTGTTTAATTTTTTTTATGTTGCTCTACAATGCAATATACACACATATGCACATAAATATATATAGCCAAATATATTTAAAATATATATAGATATAGATATATAACTGACAACGAACATGAAAAAACACTAAACAAAAATAAATCAACAAACACCAATCAAAAGTCAAACCAAAAATCCCTTTAAAAAAAAAAAAAAAAAAAAAAAAAAAAAAAAAAAAAAAAAACAAAAAACCCTTAAAAAAAAAAAAAAAAAAAAAAAAAAAAGATAAAAAAGAAACCCAACAGAGGAAGCCGCCTCGTCTATACTCACATACAAATTCCTGTTCAACTGCGGCACAAACAAACAAAAAGAGAAGACCGGAGGAGCCAACACCAGACACAGTAATAAGACAAGAAAAAGTAACAGCAGCAGTAAGAAGAGAGCCGAAGGGAATTTGAAACATGGACATAATCAATAAATTCACCAATGCATTTTGGAGTACGCACATTTGGCTGCCGCCAAATACGACATGGGCAGACATTGCGCCCGGCTCTCGTCCAGATGTTGTGCACGCCGATTATCGGGATTTAATTTGGCCCATTCCATTAGCCGCTGTGGTTATGCTTGTGCGTTACACATTGGAGCGGTAAGCAAAAGAAAAATTTATCCAAATATACACACGTACATGCAAACTTACAGTTATTATCTACAAGCATGTTTGTGTGTACGCCCTTTTTACTTTAGCGTTTTTCCAGCGTCGCCGCAATTCATTAAACTTATGCGGCGTTTTATGTGAGTGTGTGTGTGTGCTGGTTTATTTTACTGTAAATGTTCCCATTGACCGCTTCGCTTTCAAGCACTGGCATTGTGCGGACAGCTACACCACATAGACACAGTCACACCTACACAGGCGCACGCTCCGTTTGTTTGGTTGTGTACGTGTGCATGCTGTGCAATGTACAGTAAGCTGACGTCGTCGCGCGCCGCAACAACACGCATACACATGCATACATGCATATGTATATAAATATGTACACAGTTTTGCTCTTTTAAGCCAAACATAACCTCACGTGGAAACGCCCAACATTGTATGTATTCATATAACTGTATATGTGTTTATGTATTTATGTGTGTGTTTGTGTGAGTATGCGTGTTTGTTGTTGGTTTCCCTTTGGCTTTGTCAACGCCTTGCAACTTTATGTTTTCCTTCATCCACTTCTTCAATTTCAAAAGCAGCGGTGGCGGGCTTAGCGTCGCGTTCCATTGGAATCTCGATTTCCCATAAATATGAGAGCGTTCTGCGGTATTCGTACCGCGCACAGCGCTTACTAATTGTTTAGTTAACAAAGAAATAAAAAATAAAAACTATTTGTTTATACTTGTATGCACTAAACAAATACAAGCATAACAATAACGGCCCGCCGTGCATTTGCTTTACTTGTATAGATAAACACACATACATGAACTCACACACACACGCACACACACACACATTTGGATACAAAATGTACTGCACAGTGGTTAAGAATCATTGAAAATGAGCTTGAAAACCATGTCATAATTTTTTTCTAAATAAATGTCGAATCATGCCTTAATATTTGCACTCTACTAATATAGGCTTGCTAATTTTTGAAATTGCTTGGAAAGTGAAGTTGAAAGCTAATGAAAACTCGCAATAAAATAATTTAGTTAGCGTGCGAGTAGTCGATGAATTGAAGATTGTGTGCGATATTAGTTTTTATTATGCCATGGGAACCCAAGCGATCGCTCATGATAATAGGACACGAATGCCTAACAATCATTACAATGCACTTAGAACATGAGTCATTATCAATAAGTGAGCAACCAATGTAACCAGATTACAGCTGAAATTTGAATTGAAAGGTGAACCAATCGAATGCCAATTAAATGAATAATTCTATAATATAACCATTCATACCATTTGAATTTAGATTTCACTTTTTTATGGCATTTATTCCGTCACTTGGCACACTGTGCAGTAAAGCATTTGACGCTTTTTGGGGCCAATTAACCTTATATTTGCTCTCACACTTGCAACATGTGCGCACGCCTCTGTATATATATATATATATATATATACATGTGTGTGTGTGTGTGTGTGCGTGAGTGAGTTGCGTGCATTTTGCATGTTGTAATTAACATAATTACCAATGTTCATGTGAATTTGCGCTAACAAAGTTTGCACACACATATATACATATACATATAAACACATACATGTGCATATACATACATACGAGTACACATAGATAAATGGGGTCAGGCGCACCTGCAATGTGTTTTACTCCACACTTCCAAAATTTATAGTTCATTTACTTTTTTGTGTGTGTTTGGCCTGCAGTAAATGCTAAAGGCCAACTTCACGGTGTGAAATATTGTGTGGATGTTTCTTATTGAACTACAACTGCATAAGACATAAATGTTTGTCAGGGCTGTTAAGATTTGACGAGGTTTATTTTATTTTTGATTTTTTAGAGTTTCTGAAACTAGAATTGGCTTTCAGGGTCGCCAACAAATTAAGCAAGTGTGTTGTTCATTTATATATACATATGTACATACATATGTGTGTGTGTTTGTATGTGTGGCATCGACAGCTATAGTAACATCAACAACACCTTCTCCACTTCTGCACTCAAACTGGGCATTTGTTGATAAGATTTGTGCGCAAGATTTACGTAAAAATAAAATACAAATTTGATAATGCGCGGTGTTATCACAATTACGTTATAAATACATACAAACATGCGTGTGGGCGGGTGTGTGTACACACCAATGTGCAAGCGTGTTTGTGTGACACACGCTTGAGTCAGTGTGATGTGGAATGACTGTGACTCAGTTCCGTTCCATTCCTGGCAAGTCTGGCTAGATTTTCCAAAATTGGACACACTGGAATGGTATGAGAGAAAAAAACTAACAATACAACAGTAACATTTCCATTCCAAGCAGCATGCACACACATATACTATCTCGATTATTATACGCATATGTATGTATATACATACACATGCATGTACATTCATATGTGCAAATGTGCGAGTGTATAAAAAAAATGTATGCATGCATATACGAATGTATTTATATAGACATACATACATATATTTCTTCTGATTACGTATCAGCCGACCCTCACAATGTGCGGCCAGCCAAGCGCTATATAATTTAAAGTTTTTTTTTTTTCAAAATTGTCCACACACACATATAACTAAATGGATAAATCTAATCAGAATCGAGTCTTCGTGCAGGCGACAATAGCCTGTGTGTGTATATATGTATGTATATACATATAAATGTGTGTAAATTGCAGTTTTCCCATATTCATTTTGCTCATTTCCAAGAATGAAGACACACACACAAATACGGTTGCCATTGTATTGCCTTTTGCCGTTAATCTAAATCCAAACTAGTTTATCGCTGTTGCTGGCGTCGGCCGTTTGGCCAAACCGAAAGGCCAAAAAAAGTGCACGTGCTTTACGCACACAGAAGGTCGCCGGCTTACGCACACATATAGACTCTCATACGCGTGTATGTGTGCTTTGCTTTTAAATACAATATATGTATGCATATATGTTAAATAGTCAATTAACACCGTTGCTGTTTATTATTGTTGTTGCTGCTCCTTCTTCTGCCTCTGCTTTGAAATCAGCTGTTTAGCAACGAGCGATAACGATGGGATTTTGTTTTTGTTTTTGGCGGCAATGATCTTGCTATCGCCTGCTTAACTGCTCGAATGACACTGTCCAAAGCTTATGTTAAAGAGCATGAGTCACCGCTTAATACATGCATATATATATAAATACATATATAATGTGCACACGTACATAAATATGCCGCCTGAATAAGTGTGTTTGTTTTTTACAATATCGCCCAATCGCTTGCGTGTTGAATTATCATCAACAAGCGACTGAGTTGCTTGTACTTTCCGCTCTCACTCTCTTTCTCTCTCTTTGCCGACATTTCGGACTGTAATTTGCCGAAATGGCAACACTCTCTTACATACACACATGCCCACATTTGATGCGTGCTGATAACAGGTGGCAATTACTGCAGTTAATAATTTTTGGACGACATGAAGCTAACATATAGATGTACAAATACATACAAATGAATAAGTATGTAAATATGCACTTGTTCGTTCCTCCTGCTAATACGATTACTACCAGCATATATCGCGAATTGCTAATCGCGTGTTCCGATTCAGAAGCGGTTCTGTTAACTATCGATAAACAAGGAGAGAAACTAAAAGTTGTTAAGACTATCAGCGTTTGAATTGACTGAAAAAGATATATAAACTAATTTATATTTGTGTTAAGTGTGATTAATTTATCATATTTATTAAATAAGCCTTAGAATACGAAAACATTGCATACATATGTGTATTAAATTTGATCGTTAATGTCGAAAATTAGGCATCTGCTAACTACGCAAAAGGCAAAATTTACAGCGCTTACAACATATGTATGCACACGCGCGCATGCAGTGTATAATGTACGTAACTGTAATTACATGCACGCATATCATCCTACACTATTTTCATTACATCGATGTCAAATTATAAATGTTTTTTTTTTTTGTTTTGTGTAAACGCTTATGCTATATTTCACCTTCTCTCCTGCTCTTTCAACTTGGCTTCTGAAATGAATTCATATAGATTTGCTAGGCTTCACGCCTGCATCGTCTTTACAACTATTTAAATATCACAATTGCCCAAGCCTAATCATGACCGATGCGGATTTGGCCAGCTGGCGAGGCGCTAGCGCATGACAGTTATTATCCAGTTTCTATCAGGGTGTAACGTTGGTGCAATGCTGATGCAAATTATAGAGCGTGCAGTTCAAACAGTGGCGCCACCTATCGTTCATTGCAGACTTTCATGGTCATCAGAGGAAGCGGTTGCTTGCTCCTCCTATAATTTTGCTTATTTATTTATTTTTATTTCGCTTTTGCTTTCAATTGACTTTGTTACTTATTATTATTCTTATGGCTTCCATATTTCTGTTGTTTATTTATTTATTAACTTTTTTTGTTTCGATGGTCTGCGACACGCGTTTAGGGTGCGCTTCCTACTATATGTGGGCATTACAAATTCTAAACTTGTCACAGCCCATGCTGTATGCATTTATATAGAAGACCCGCTTACATACATATAAATTACATATTTATGCGGGCTCAAATTAATATGGAAACAAAAATCAAATACGTAAATCGAATCGATCGGGCATACATACCAAATGTGCAACGCCTGACAGCACTGAGAACACATCTGGCAACACCTACATCTATATCTTTAATTAGGCTTGCTGACTAGGTTCAGTTAGGTTAAACAGCGTAGCGTAAGCTTAAGTCAACTAGACGGCATGTAATTTGCTATATCTTTGTGGTCTGACACTCGTTCACGATGTGAAATGTGAGTATATTGGTTTTATAATTAATATATACGTTAGTATTTGATGAATACCTACTTAAAGACGTGGCTAGGAATTTGAAATAGAATTATATAAATGGGTATAAATAATTATATATATTTTTGATGGTGCTTGGAATGTGAATGAGTATTATGCAGTCGTTCTTAGAATTCTGTCTCTGCTTTGGGTTTCATAATGTCAAATCAAATCGAATTACGTTTATCATTATAATTAACATCAATTTTCTTTGGGGTGTAATCAATGTGATGACCTATTGGCTGGTTGTCAAAAAGCATGTAACAATATACATATATATATATATATTGTANTATATTGTATGTATGTATATATATAATTGTGTATGTTGCTATACATATATAGCTTCCTTAATTTGATTCTTTCTTTGGGCATGTGCTATGCACACAAAAATCAAGAATTCAATTGATTTAAAATGCCAGACGCGCGCGCTGAAACAGAAAGAGATAGAATGCGAGTGAGAGAGGGTGAGTGGGTGACGGATGGAGTGAGGGGAGAGGGTGACGGGGTGGTGTCAGTCATATTTTCGATTTCATTTAGCAAATGAACTTCCGATAAGCGTAAGCCATGGAGCTGCGCCTATGCTGCTAGGCCAATTACTTATGCATGGGATGCCTGGGACAACACTACTGGCTTTGTACAGTGTTGCCATGCTTCACACGTGCCAGACAGACGGACAGGACCGATGAACAGATGGACAGACAGATGAGAGAGACGACAATTCCCGGCCCTTCCCATATGTAGATGTATTTCGATATGGAATTTCAAATAGATGGCAAAAAAAAAATTTCCGCGTTCTGTACGCCAAAATGAAGTTCTTTCACTGCTTCTGCCTCTGCTTTTGCGCATATAAATGGAATGTATTTATTTTGTTTTGGCGCTGTTGCCAAAGTTCAGTCAGTTTAATGCTCACTAGAACTACGTCTGGAATTTCCAAATGAAATCTCAATTGTTTTACTTCTTCGTTATTTTCGTTGAGCTATGTCCATTGCGCATACGAAATGAAATGTAAAGTGGTGCAGCGTTGCCAAACTTCACAGTTTGAATGTGTTTATGTATATGTATTAGATTGTACTCTCATCAAACTGATTTGCCTTCATCACTTAATTATTGTTGATTAGTTTATTTTCCTTTCTTATCCTATGGCTGCCGATCAGCGTTTGGCAGTCATCGAAAGATATTTTATATTCGAAAAGCTGATATAATTTGGTCGATAAGCAAATCAATATATTATCTGTAATTTTAAATGCGCGAAATGTTTAAGGACTAGAAGAGCCTGAAAGAAATGGTTCATAAAAAATAAACTTTATTTCTTGGATATCTTACGTTTCCTCAATTATGTTCTATTTTCTAATTTATAGGATACGTATTAGCCCATTAAGTTTATTACCTTGACTACGCAATCTCTAGCTGTTCCCGATTATGAGTCATATTCCTAATCAATTAGCGCGCAATAAATACCTCTGTTATAATATCTAATCAATATTTTACAGCTTTTGGATATCGCCAATCGGCAAATCGCTAGGCATACGAAGCTCTAGACCTAAGAAAGCAGCAAATGTTCCTACATTAGAGTCAGCATATGCGAAATCTTCGCATTTGGATCATAAATGTGTGAGTAGATCTCGATTTTGTAGATTAAATTTGAGAGACTGTCAATCAGCATTCATTCATTCAATTAATCAATAAACCAATCAGTTTTTTTAAGAACATCATTTTGATCTTCAGTAAAGAGTCAATCATGATACATCAATCACTATAATTAAATGTACTTTCTTCATCTAATAGCTGGCTCCGCTGGCCAAGCAGACAGACATGACCGAGCGTCAGATCGAACGCTGGTGGCGCCTGCGTCGGGCACAGGACAAGCCATCGACATTAGTCAAGTTCTGCGAAAATACATGGCGATGCATCTACTATCTATATAGCTTTATATTCGGTGTAATTGTGCTGTGGGATAAGCCCTGGTTCTGGGACGTGAAGAGCTGCTGGTATGGCTATCCACATCAGGTGAGTGTCTGTTGGCATTTCCTCACTCAGTCACTCACTCACTCATTTATTCACAATATTTTGCAGTCTGTTAGCAACGATATCTGGTGGTATTATATGATATCGATGTCCTTCTATTGGTCACTGACCGCCACACAGTTTTTCGATGTGAAACGCAAAGATTTTTGGCAAATGTTCATACATCACATGGTTACACTGCTTCTCATGTCCCTAAGTTGGGTATGCAATCTGCATCGTGTCGGCTCCCTGGTGCTGGTCGTGCACGATTGTGCCGATATATTCCTGGAGGCTGCTAAACTGACCAAATATGCCAACTACCAAAAGGTCTGTGATGCGATCTTTGCCATCTTCACAGTTGTCTGGATTGTCACACGCCTGGGATTCTATCCGCGCATTATCTACAGGTAACAATTAATTTGTCTAATCGATTAAGAACTATCGCTTATTAACAATATTTTCTGTTTAACCTTGACAGCTCCTCTGTGGAAGCGCCGCAAATTCTGCCCATGTTCCCAGCCTATTATATATTTAATTCGTTGCTATTAATGCTGCTGGTGCTGCACATCATTTGGACCTATATGATTCTAAAGATTGTAGTCGACTCTTTGCAGAAGGGTCTGGTAAGTTATATGCATCCAAATTCACGTCAAGGCTAGAAGATATAGCTAGAAATAGAAATCCATCTGTACATATGTAGCAATAGTTAAATAAATACTCATTGAAATTCACGTTAAGTAGAAGCTGTGACGTCAAACTAATACCATTTCAAATTATTGTTTTGGCCAACACTGCGCAAGAAAGATCGCTGGCGCTTGTGTTGGGCAAGAGTTGTGATGTCAGTCATGGCATTCTTATTGCGCAGGCAGCGCTGCGTAACATAGAAAAGCATTTTAACAGCGCGTGCAGCAATGCTGAGAAAGTTAAGCTCAGATAGAGAGAGAGAGAGAGGGAGACAGAAAGAGTTTTAGATATCAAATAAAGAAGTTATATATGTAAACATATTTACATGACATACTCTTTGAATACCATTGCTTGGCTTTAATTCATTTCTTTTGATTTCTATATTCGTCCAATTACAGATGTCCGGCGATATACGTTCCAGTGATAGTGAGGATCTCACAGATAGTTCAGGCAATGTGCGCGTTGCTAATGGCTCGACGCGCACAAAACCCAAATCTGGCAACTCTACGTTAACAGCAACAACAGCTGGCGGTGGGGTTGCCCAACGTAAGAGAGGAGGCAACACTAGTAATAATCACACGGGCGATGCAACGACAGCGGCAAAGTAAACAAATATCGCATTGTTGCCTGGATATGTAAGCGAGAGAGAGAGAGAGAGTGAGGTGGATTGGAAGTGGCAGCAGTGCTAATCGACAACTGTAAAATGAGGATCAACAGAGAGGGAATGAAAAACAACAGAAAAACAAAAGCAAACACAAAAACCAAACCAGTTCAGAACGTTTTTATGTTAATTATTATTTTTATATTTTATAAAAAAATATTTTTTAACTGAAAAAAAAAGAAAAAATTTGAATAAATGCGAGAAAAAAACGCAATTAGAAATTCAAATTATTTAACATGTGTCCAACTAACGCGACAATTATTATTTAGAGAGTTTTGTGTTAAACCAAAAAAACAAAAACAAACAAAAAAACAGTTATTATTTTTTTTATATGTAGTTTAGGCAAGGGCAAGAAATGGTTATACAAATTACCGTTATTGTAAATGACAACAACAAGAAAACACCAAAACAAATTTGGATAATGATAAAGAAGATGCAGTAAATATATAAAAGATTTAAAATTCGCTACGAATTCACGCTTAGACAACAAAACAATTTAAAACCGAATAATAAATACATTTAAATGCTATTGTAAATATTTTAATTGTACGTTTCCCAAGTAAAAAATAATAAAAATACAACAAAATAACTAAATAAATGTATGTACGCCAAAAAATAAAATTATTTTTATCTGATGGCAAGGTCTTGTTTGTGCAAGTTAATTCAGTGTTCCGTTGAAATGCCAGGCAAACAGTAAATCGCAACAGCTTGAGGTAAGAGAGAACCAAATATATTCCGCTGCTTGCTTCCAGGGGCGATCATGGTGAGCTATTGGAGTTCGTTTTCAAACATGGCGAATTTCCAGTGCATACTTTTACAGCTGAGCACCGGTTGAGTGAGCAGTGCTGCAAAAAATTCGGCTGTGTGATAAAATATGTACGTTGATCCTTAATTATGTAAAGCAAGCATAAATATATTATTGACGATATATGTAAATCAAATATGTATACATATATTAATTGCTTGTTGGAGATGCATCAAACTTCATGCTCGCATACATATGGACATACAGCATAGTTGTTGCCAAAGCGAGACGGAAAATCAATCGCCAGCATTGTCAGGCACGAGAATGAGCAAAACAGAACTTTGCACGGTACTCTTCTAAATTCAGTTGTGTTTGCCTTTAGCTTTGCTTTCATCTGCTCATTTATTTTATTTTAACTATTTATTTTGTTTAACAGATGTGAAATTTCAATATATATATACACACAAATATGCTATTTGGGTCTCTAGCACGTTTGCCTAGTCTCTGGCGCCGCTTTGGCAGCCAGCCCAAGGATCGTGTGCTGGTCACCTTTGACTTCGACAAGACGATCATTGAGGAGGACTCGTATGTGGCGCTTTTTCGCCTGCTGTCACCCCAGCACCAGCACACGGAGCACCTTCAGACGCTAATCGACGGCAGCCGATGGCTAGAGTATTTAGAACATTTGCTCCGGCTGCTGCAGAGGGAGCAGCATTTGTCGTCTATACAGATCGCTCAATCTATACGGAAATTGAAGCCGATGCCAGGAATCTTGCATCTGCTGCGTCGCCTGGAACAATGTGAGACCGTGGATCTGTGCATCTTGAGCGATGCGAATAGCTTCTTCATCAAGGAGTGGCTAGCAGCGCACGGCTTGGAGTGCAGCTTCCGAGCAGGCATCTATACAAACCCGGCCTGCGTGATGCCCGAGAGTCAGCATCTAGTCGTGGTGCCATACGAGCACCAAACGCACTGCGACTACTGTCCGGAGAACCTATGTAAAGGTGGCGTCATGGACATGCTCATTGGGTCTCAAAGCAATGGCGACAAGCCATACGGTAGCTTAATTTACGTCGGCGACAGTTGCAACGATCTGTGTGCTATACGTCGTTTGAGTACGGCGGATACTGCGTGCATACGGTGCGGCGAAGAGCTGCATGCGAAGCTTCCGGCGTATCGCAAAGAGCTCAACTGCCAGATGATTCATTGGTGGGATGGCCATGACCTGGAGCACCAGCTGGCCAAGCACCGGCATTTGCATTGGTAAATGGAGAGAAATTCTTGTTGGTAAGGCAAAATTATTAATGCTGCTGTTTTATTCGACTTATAATATGTTTTGTATGCATACATGTATATATATATATTAATTTATCAATTATTGCCAAATCTCTCTGCCTCTCCCAAGCACTACTCCTCT